CTCTCACCATTACCACACCCTTCACCTATAGCCTTTGAAAGTCAAGTTAAGATTCCGACATCAGGGGGTCCTTCGCTGAGTACTTATTCTACACTAGGTCTACCTTGATATTTTCTTTCATAGCACTTATCACGTTTGAAATTAGATGCAGAGATGACATATGAATGTGCATGCTCATTTGTTTAATATCAGTCATTGAAGATTTACTTATGGAAATGCAGATACCACATCTAGTTGAGTCACCATTTTACCCTTGGGCTAATGCAATGATGTCTAGCATATAGAGGCACTTTATACATATTCGTTGATGGATGAATCTGTGATTGAATGGCATGGATATGAAATAGGCCTTGGAAAGAAACATCAGTGCTTTAATAAACTAAAACACACAACACGCACCTGCCATTGCATCAATTCCATCTCATGGTGACCCTTTGTAGGGTTTCTGAAACTAACAGAAACAGCTAGCCTCGTCTTTCTCCTATGAAGCAGCTATTGGATTTGAACCACCAATGTCGTGGTTAGTAGCCCGAAACTTAAGCCACATCACCACCGGGGTTCCTCCTTTGATAAACTGAGAAAGGGAAAGGGATTTCCTGGGCAGATTTTGTGGACAAAGTCCAGAGAGGTAGGAATAGCTTAATATTCTCAAATTACTGTTTTTCTGGTTATGAAACCAAGACATGTTTAATAATGTGTTTATTATAGAAAATTTGAAAAGTACAGAAAACTATAAAGGAAAAACTAAGTATTAATACCGTGACCATTAAAACAGGCCTTTCACCAATAAGGGAGCACCCTGCTCATGGCTTGTGGCTCTGCATGATAATTGAGGAGAAGGCAACCCCAATGACGCACAGCAGTAGCGAGGGTGACCACAGGAAAGTGAGGGCTGGCTTGGGCTCTCGTCAAGCCCTGGCACATGACTGTGGAAAGTCACTTTACTCCACACCCTAAGTTTCCTCATGGCCCAAAGTATGTTCTTTTGGGGCTCCTTCAAGCTCGTTTAGTGGGAGCCCAAGCACCTCAACTCTTCTCTGAGAAAAACGGATACACAGTGACTTCTCCTTTTTTTTATTTTGGAATTTTGTGTAAGCTGTTTACTTTGTTTGCTGTTTTGTTTTGTTTTTGCTTGTCTTACATGTTTTGTTTTTAGCAACAGACAGAGAAACAAAGACAGGACTACAATTCATGTTTGAAGCTACTCAGTAGAGCTACTCTCAACTCCAACTTTTGATGATAAGTCTCACCCTGTCCAGGTCAAAATTATTATA